GACATGCTTTTATTCACAACTTTAAAAATGTAAGGTATAGTGCCAGAACCATTTGGCTCAGTGGATAGAGTGTCGACTTGCGGACTGGAAGGTCTCGGGTTCAATTCCGGTCAAGGGCATGTACCTTGGTTGTGGGCACATTCCCGGTGGGCTGTGCAGGAGGCAGCTGGTCGATGTTTCTCTCTCATCAATGTTTCTAACTCTCTACCCCTCTCTCTTCCTCTCTGTAAAAAAATCAATAAAATATATTGAAAAAAAATCTTTGTTTAAAATGTAAGATGTAGTGATGAATATGGGATCTGATCCAGGAGACCCAATAAAACTATTTTTATTATAAGTGAAAAAAATATATTCTATAGTTTCTAAATTGAGCTAATTATCAACCAAGATGCTTACCTCCATTCTGAGAACCACTTACTCCTTGCACATGAGAAGTCCAGAAATGAAGAGACTTGCCCATAGTCTTATGGGTAATTAGTGAGAGAGCCAGGCTTGGAATCAGCCGTCTTCATCCAATTTGACTGCACACATGCACATGAGTGCGCGCGCGCGCACACACACACACACACACACACACACACACACTCACTCATGCATGCATACCTAATCCTCTCTCTGCAGTCAGTTCCACTGAATGCAACAGGAATAAAAATGAGCCTTGCAGACAGTCAAGCTTGCAAGTATGAGGAATGTATACTATTAAGCAACAGATTTAGGCCCAGAGCAGACTTGGGATAGTCCCTTAGCAAACAGCCATGGTAGAGAGACTCTAGTTCCTCATATCACATGGTACCATCTAGTCCCCAGAGCAGGTCTTTTTCTCTCTTCTTTAGACATGTGTCACCTCTTGGAACTCTGCCTCCAGCACAGCTGAACTTTCCCAGAATGCCCAGCCCCTGGAGAGCAGCTGTGTGCTCAAACACAGAATGCAGAATCAGGTGGAAAGGCCTGGGCTCAGACCCATTCTGTGAGAAGCCCATTCAAAGAGGTGCACAGTCCCTCTGGAACTCTTCACTCTGGAATGTCTTTTAACTCACGTTTCTTTCTGCTTTCTACTCATAACTGGCCTGTGTCCAGCTCTCATTGGTCTGCAGTACAGCAGAGACCTGGCTCTGGGCCAACTAATCATTCTGGAGCTAGCACATTACTCCTCTGCTTATTTGCATATCTAAATAGCATTTAAGAGAAAATTCAGGGAAGGTCACTGTTCGGCCACTGGGGTAGCCAAGAATGTATGTGGAATAAGGTCTTTTCATCATAAATTCCAAGGACTTCAGGCACAGCAGATTTTCATTTACTCTATTGATTCTTTTGTCAGTAAGGAAAAGAGATGAGAAATTATTTTAAAACTAGAGGCCTGGTGCATGACATTTGTGCACTGAGGCGAGGAGGGGCCCCACAGACCAGCCTGTGCCCTCTCACAGTCTGATACCCTTGGGGGATGTCCGACTGCCAGCTTAGGCCAGCTCCCCTCTTCTGAGGGATCCTTAGCACTACTGCGGAGGTGGGGCACTGTGCTTGCCAGTTGTCAGCCTGGCTTGTGGCTGAGCTGTGCTCCCCCTGTGGGAGTGCACTGACCACCAGGGGGCAGCTCCTGATGGCCAGTGTGCATCATAACAATCATTCAGTCGATTTGCATAGTACCTTTTTATTATATAGGATAGCTGGAAGTAATCCAAGGAATTTGAAAGGGAGAATCATCCCAAATCATGCATCTTTGCCTTCAGAGCTGATGTTTTTATACCTAAGTGTGAGTTGTCACAGCCTCAATGTCTCTCTCCTGACCTCCAGACACGTAAATCTAATTGCTCATGGGGCACTTCCAGGTGAAACTCTCATAAGCCTCTCAAACCCTCCACATCTAACACTGAATCCACTGCCTCTCCACCCCACCACACCCCCAGCCTCTTACCCTCCTCTTTAGGTAGCACCTGTGGTGGCAACTTTTCTTTGAAGACCCAGAGCACCATGCCAGACACCTGGCTGTTCTCCTAAGCTCTTCCTTGCTCTCCCATCCCAAACAATAGTGGAGTGGTGGGAAGAGCAAGGAAGAGCTTAGGAGTTGGCCCACTTCTCTGACTCCACTGCCGCTGCCTTAATCCAGGTCTCTAGGTTCCCACCCTCTCTCACCAGGATTGCTGAAACAGCCTCCCAACCATACTCTGCCCCATCTCCCTCCTCCATTCCCCATTCCACACTCACATTATACCTTACTGCTCAACTTAAAACTCTCCACCAACAATCTTGCTGCCCACAGAATATGGCCCAGGTTTTTTTTTGTAGCCTGTGTCCAGAGCTTTTCATGGTCAGCCATCCCGTCCACCTTCCCAGCCATATCTTCTCCTCATATTAGATTCCAGAAGCACAGATGCGGTGTTTCAGAGCCCTGAGCACAGTGGTCTTCCCTCCCCGCACCTGCATCCCCCCCAACCCAGTTCTGTCCCTTTGATCTCTCCTTTGCCTGAAGCTTCCATCCTACTCATCTCCACTTGGCTAATTCCTACCTGAGTGAAGGCTCACTCATGTGTCACTTGCTCTGGGAAGCCTTCTCTGTTCATCATCAAGGGTGAGTGCTACCTTTGATAGACCATATTGGCCTTTATCTTGATAGACTTATTTCCCGAGTTGTGATTTTAATCAAGTCATATGTCAAGTTGTACTAACAATCTTTCTGAGTCCATGTTTGCTTTAAGCTATTTAAACTTAAGAACCACACTAGTCATTTTGCCTGTTGTTGACATGGACAGTGCCTAGCACACAGCGAGTGTCCCTTAAGTGTTGGTTAAATGTAATTGAAAAGGTAAGCTCACTTTCCATTTAAAGGAGGATGTGGAGAAGAGGGAACCCTAGTACATTGCTGGTGGGAATGCATACTGGAGCAGCTACTATGGAAAACGGTATGGAGTTTCCTCAAACAATTAAAAGTGAAACTGTCATTTGACCCAGTGATCCCACTTCTGGGAATATATCTTAAGACTCCTGAAACACCAATCAGAAAGAATATATTTACACACACCCCTATGTTCATAGCAGCACAATTTACAATAGCTAAGATCTGGAAATAGCCCAAGTGCTCATCAGTAGATAAATGGATAAAAAACCTGTGGTACATTTACACAATGGATTACTATGTGGCTGTAAAAAGAAGGAACTCTTACCCTTTGCAACAGCATGGATGGACCTGGAGATTATTATGCTAAATGAAACAAGCTAGTCAGAGAAAGCCAAATATCACATGATCTCACTCATATATGGAATCTAATGAACAAAATAAATTGATGGACAAAATAGGTCCAGAGGTATGGATGCATGGAACAAACTGACAGATCTCAGAGGGGAGGATGTTGGAGGGGATAGGAAGAGATTAGCCAAAGGACATATATGCATATATGCATAACCCATGGACATAGACAATAGTGTGGGGAAGATCTGGGATGGGTAAAGGTTGGGTGGAGGGGAAAAAGGGAGAAATGGAGGACATCTGTAATATTGTCAACAATAAAAATAAATATCATAGACACAAGCAATAGGGTGGTGAAGGCCATGGGGGCAAAGGGGATAGGAGAGGGCAATGGGGAGGAAAAATGGACATATGTAATACTTTCAACAATAAAGGTTTATTTAAAAAGTAAGAATAAATAAAATACAAATAAATAAGATAAAAAAAAATAAAAGGAAATAATGAGACTGTGGTTGTGCTTCCAGGAGGATTGGCATGGCCTTTGCAGCATCTCCAGCCTGCACCTGTGTTCAGCTCTGCAGCTGAGCCACGGCCTTGCCCATCACAAACCACACAGTGTCTTTTCCAGGTAGAGCCATGCTCTTCTGCAAAAGTGTCATGCCTCTCTTAGCTGTGTCACTTGACTGATCCAGGCAGAAAATGTCAGAAAATTCAATTTAAATATGCTTGAATCTTAAAGGGGATTACTTCACTCAGGTACTAAGGAAGTCCAGGGACAAGGACTGGACTTGTCCATTTATCTACTGATGAGCTCTGCCTCTGTTTCCTGCTATTATTTTGACTACACGTTTTCTCTGCCCATTGGCTTCACCCTCAAGAGTAGTAACCTGAGGCTTAGAGTCACAGTGACAGTATCAGAGGAAGTGAGCTTACAGCTAAAGAACTAGGGTTCTGTTTTCCCAGAAACTTCCAGCAAACTTGCCCTCAGGCTTTATTGAGTTGGATAACATTCCTATTTCTGAGAAAATTCCATTGACCAGGAAATGGCATATACACTGATTGGCTTAGATCTGGTTTCTGAAGAGGGATCCCCTTAGAACGATCAGGCCCTTCTCTGGAGGTAGGTTCTGTTCAGCAACCTTTAAAGCATGTGACTGCCTGAGAGAAACCTAAATGAAAACCATGGGAAGAGCGAGGGGAAGAAAATAGCTTGATGCCCACTGTGCCAGATGGTATTTACTGTACCCTTAAATTCTTCTTCTGGTTCCTGATGGGCTATAGTAGGAACCCTGTACTTGTGAGTCCATGAAGCTACAAGAAAGTTCGGTTCAGAGTCAATTCTACACAGTGACAGTGTGTGGTTGATCTCTGCCTACGTGGCATGTTAGTATGACCTGTTGCTTTCCATAGGTTTTCTCCCCTCTAGTGGGGCAGTAGGAATAGGTTAAGTCTCCCAGCTTGCCCCCTCATCACCCGTCCCTAAAGCATGCATGGGGCCTTCTTGGGGCTTTCTAAAAGTTTCTACAAAGGGGAAGTAGTAGGGATAGTAAATAACTTTTGCGCCCATCTCCCTGATTCACTTGCTCTTTGTCTGTTAGGCTCTGTAGAGAAATGCAGGGGCCAATGGTGGGCCTTTCTGCTAAAAGTGAAACCAGGAAACCTAGGAAACGAGACTGTGGACTACCCTGCACCTTCAAGAGATGATTCATTCTCACTGGGAACCAGCAGGAGGGTTTTATTTCTTCCGATAGTTCTGAAAGTTTTGCCCTCTTGGCCCCATAACCCTTCTGATTAATCTGTATGATCTTGTCTCCTCTAGATGTTCGACTGGATAAGCCACAACAAGGAGTTATTCCTCCAGAGCCATACGGAGATCGGAGTCAGCTACCAGCACGCTCTAGACCTCCAGACACAGCACAATCACTTCGCCATGAACTCCATGGTGAGTGGAGCACCTCTGGGGGCAGGAGAGTGGTGAGGGAGGGGGCTGGAGGGAGAATGGAAAGGGGCAGGAACAGGCTTCCAACCTGAGTATGAATGAGGAACTCTGAATATACGGATCCTATAGCATCCTATTTGCCAGGATGGGAACATGTGGCCAGCCAGCTGTTCTGTAGAAGATTATGGCCCCATCTTTGCCTCTAACCTTATTTTATAAGGTGAAAGCAATGTACTGGGGTTGTAGAAGGCATTGGCTCAGTGCAAGACTAGGAGAGTCATCAGTTCCATTCTGCTGAGGCAACCTACTAGCATGCTTGAGTCTCTGAGCTGGGATGGTGAAGGACCTTGGCTGTGGCACATTGAAATGATTGAGTGAGCCAGAACCGGTTTGGCTCAGTGGATAGAGCGTTGGCCTGCAGACTGGAAGGTCCCGGGTTCGTTCCGGTCAAGGGCATGTACCTTGGTTGCGGGCACATTCCCGGTGGGGACTGTGCAGGAGGCAGCTGGTCGATGTTTCTTTCTCATTGATGTTTCTAGCTCTCTAGCTCTCTCCCTTCCTCTCTGTAAAAAAATCAATAAAATATTTTTTTTAAAAAAAAGAAAAAGAAATGGTTAAGTGAATTGGGACTGTTTAGACCGGAGAAGAGGAGCCTAAAGGGACATGCGATTGCTGCCTTAGATATGTGAAGGACCTACTTGGAAAGAGAGGGTAAATTGCTTTGTGTTGGTCTTGGAGGCACAAGGGTCTGGGATGTGGCAGTTGGAGGAGGAGGCAGGACATGACTTAGGGGTGGGGTAGAGGTGGGATGCATTGGGAGTTACTGAGCTCCCCATCATGGGGGAGGGGGTGGGGGGTGGGTTCAAGCATACCCTGAATTTGGAGAGGGATATTTCCTAGCTGTGTGGCCATAGGGAAGTTATCTCTCTGTATTTCAATTTCTTCATCTATAAAATGGAAATAATAGCTATTTATAGAGTTGTAAAAATTCAGTGAGTTGTGAGGTGGTTGGAGCTGTGACTGGTACATAGTAAGTTATCAGCAATTATTGAGATGATGATGATGATGCAAGAGTCTAGTTCAGATAACACCTGTGATGCCTCATAAAACGAATGCTTTGGGATATTATTTTTCCCATGTGGTCACTCTTAAGAAACTTCATTTCAAAATCTTGTCTGCCCCTTGAGCCCATGTATTGTATTTGAAATGCATGCGACCTAAGTATGTCTCTCTCTCCTTCTTGCAAGCTCTTCCTACTTGTATTACTGATCCATAAGAATAGTGCCACCATTCATATATCTGAACACCAAGGGCACCTTATCATTTCAGCCGGGGATGCTGATAGGGGAGCAAGTGTTAGAAAAACATAAATATAGAGGATCACGAAGGCCAGGAAGGAAGAGAATTTCATTTTTTACCAGGTTGCGTTAGACATGCTCCACACTGGACTTACTGTCCTGAGGAAGAAATAGTTCTGGCCTCAGCTTGTTCAGTGTCTAGGTGGGGGGATAACTCAGACAGTCATGCTGCAGCTTGGCATGTGCCAGATGATATGCCGAGTTAACCAAAAACCTTAAAAAACTAACAGTGTTTCCCAAAGTGTGGTACATGTACCCCCAGGGGTACGGGAAGAGTTTGGTGGGGGTACTCGTTGCACCAGAGTTTGGTGGGGATATGTACTACACCGTGCTTAGCTGCGCCTAATTCTATGTTCTCATGAGTATGAGGGGTACTCAGCGATATGAAAATTATAGAAGGGGTACACATATGTCAAAAGTTTGGGAAACACTGGTTTAAGACAACAGGGGTTGATTTCTTGTTCCTACCACATGCCCATCACTGGCTGACGAGAGCTCTGTTCATTACAGTCACACGGCGACCCGGGCTGATGGAGCAGCCACCGTCTTAGACATTGCCAGTCCTCTCACCAGACAAAATAGCCAAGCCCATGCTGGCTCTGCAACCATCCACCAAGTGGCATGCCACTTTCACTCATCTCTCCACACTCAACTCCAGTCTCATAGCCACATCTCACTTTGTGGATGGAAGTGTATATAGTCCTGTCACGTGATGGGGAGGAGAGAGTGAGATATTAAGGAATATCTCTAATGCCCAATACAGGGAGCCATTGCAGGATGTAAGGTAGAGATGAACATCATGAGCTTTGCTTAGAAAGATAACTCAGGCTGCAGAATAGGAGGCTGTGAATTCAGGCAGTGAAAAACATCAACATTGATTTCTTTAAATCAGGTTTGGCCACAACGGTCTTGTGTCTTCATCGTAAATGTAAAGACTCATTGCCTTTGAACTAGACACCTCTAATTATGTCTCATCCCTGGCTCACTTGAGTCACAGAGGAGCAAAACAATTGATTACAGGTGATTAAGGACGTGAACTCAAATCTAGTCGAGTCTGATTGTCTGTGTGCCTTGTGGATTTCCCCTGGTGAATTTTTACGGATTCTGTGCCAGAATCTTCGTGTCACCCATCTGCCTGGCCCCAAAGCAGACACACTCGTTTTAATAAGAAGCAAAGACAGACATAATTAGGGAGGCAAGTCTGCCGCCAAATCCCTCACAACAGTGAACTACAAAGCTAACTAGGAGAGCCTTTGGTTTTGAAAGATCTGAACCGCTGCTCATCCCTGTTCATGTGGATAGCTGAGAGCTAGTGGCACATCAAAAACCTTTCCTCAGAAAAAAACTTACTTTTGAAGTCTCCATATTCAGAACAAAAACGAAGGAGAACATTTACTGAAGGGAAACATCTTCTGGAGTTGGGAGAGAAGGGAGAATAGATTTAATAAAAACCAGCCAATTAGCCCAGTCTAGTCTCAAAGGCTCCTCCCCCCCGAAGAGTGCAGCACTCAGAGGCCGTCACCTGATTAGACTGGATCTCCTCTCTGGCTGCAGGGCAAGGGAAGGGAAGTCCCATGGTTGTTTGATCAAATTGCCCAGCGCCTGTGCTTTATAAACACAGCCCGTGCTGTGGTTACAGGTGTGTTATTGAGAAGAACTTCCACAAAGAGGGATGTCATCATCCCAAACAGGTGAAAGGAGGGAATTACAGACTCCTTTTCTCTGGCCTGAGTGATGGATGTTGCTGCCAAGAAGCAGATGAATACAAACAGCTACTCCTGGAGCCCAGTGACTACAGGAGACCCGTCAGTCCCACAGGGGACATGAGAATGTGGATTGGTCTGTACGTTCACAGAGGCGTTTCTGTTTCTGTTCTTAGAAGTGGTGCGCACACTGTACACACGGCCACACATCTTTCCACGTAAAGGTATGTGCATGTAGCGTACTTTGTTTTAGGCTACATGTGAGTTCTTTGATATTGAATCCTGTTTGACAACTGAAGTAGGCCAGGGGTTTCTTACCTTTTTGGGAGGTCACAGATACCTTCAAAATCTAATGAAGATGGTGAGTCTTCTCCCCAGAGAAATGTATATCTGAACAGTATTTTTTAGATAATTTCAGAGACTTCAAGGGAATCCTAAAGCTTGTCATTCAGCCTCCTCAATTTAAAATCTCAAGAACCTAATGACTTTCTTCACACATTCCACAAATAATTAAGGATCAGACATTGTGCTGGATGTGTGACATAGAGAAGCGAATAAAAGAGAGATGGTCTATTCTATAGAGGTTCCAGTGGGAAGACAGATGTTAAATATATAATCTAATATAAAAATATAATTGAAACTGTAAGTTTTATGTTGGAAGAGTAAGGGATACTGTACTAGAATATAACAAAAGAGGCTCAATTTAAGTGAGGGGAGGTGTATTTATCATTCAATAATAAGTACTAATTTGCTCATTGTCCATTCATTTATAGTAATTTATGATCTGTGAATTAACTATATCTACCAAAGAACTTATAATTTAAAGACGCCCTAGGTATATTGTTTTTTTTAAAAATATATTTTTATTGACTTTTTTACAGAGAAGAAGGGAGAGAGATAGAGAGCTAGAAACATCGATGAGAGAGGAACACCGACCAGCTGCCTTTTGCACACCCCCTACCGGGGATGTGCCCGCAACCAACGTACATGCCCCTGACCGGAATCGAACCTGAGACTTTTCAGTCCGCAGACTGACGCTCTACCACTGAGCCAAACCGGTTTTGGCTGTTTTGTAAATTAAAATGATCAATTTATAATTTATGTTTTCTAAGATTTATTTTCATATGTCTAGTTTTGGTTAAAGATGCAACTCCAGTTAAGGTGACCATTACTGAGAAATAATTGCATATCATTAAATCACGGGGGAGGGTATCAGAAATTTCCTAAATTTTATTCTGAATTGTACCGATAAAGCTATCAGTTATTAGTATGCCAAGAGTGTGGGAGGGACACCCTACTGACTAAGGTATGTGCGGAACTCTAAAAGAAAAAGGTTAAAATTGGTTGATTTTTGGCTTTTTGTCTAACATATTTTTTTGTAGTTCCCGCTGGAGAATCCTAGTCTTTTGATCTTTAAAAAATAAGTAATAATAATAATCCACCTGCTAAAACCCAGTAGGAAATAGGAAAATGTTTCCTGGCTTCTTATAGTGCCTCAGAAAGCCAGGTTTCTTGAGTTCCCTGGAGCCTCCCTCTTGTTTAATTATGCCTTCTGTTGTGGAAGCCTTCACCACAGATTCTTCTTCTGAGTGTGGCCTTCTCCTCTAATGGGGCTGTGGGCAGACGGAGTAGGGTTGGGTTGTAATGCGCAACAGAACAATCATCTAGCCATCCAGTTCTAGTTCTTTATGAAAGAGTCACAGGAGTACATACAAACATAACCCAGCCTTATTTACAATTTTAATTAGCCAGTTCTTTGGGAAAAATAAATTGCTATGGTTTCTGTCTAGAATTTTAAAATATGAAATAATATTCACTTTCTATTAGTACGACTATGAGGATTCACATTAGTGATAACCATGTGCAGCTAGGAATCCTGTCTGCTGTGGCAGATTTGAAAGCTACTTTAATCCTATTAATTTTCTCACCAGAGGTACTTATC